AAAAACTTCACCACCACTGGTCTTGTTTTAAGGCTTTTTGGGTTACCCATAAAATATACTCTTTCTATGTCTGTTTCAAGCAGATGTTGCGTGCCCATTATGGAATTAACCCAAGCTATAACCTCTTTTTAATCTTGTCCGTGTTGCAATTGGAAATTCATTATTTTGATGTTAGACCTTCTAAGATTATCCTCCATGTAAATCAGCTTTTTATTGGTGTCACTGATTTGTTCATCCAAGGAAGATATTTTTTGTTCATATGATTGTACTGGATCTCCAAGGTCACTAATTTTGCTTTTACCATCTTTGAGCTCCTGTGAAACGCCTGAAATTTGATCCTGAAGTTTGTTAATACTCATTTCAATGGACTTTGCTTGCCTCTCTGTTTTGTCAAAGCCTTCAGCCATTCTAACAGAGATGTCTCTTACGAGCCTCGTAAGCAACTCCATTGCTGTTTGTTTATCTTCTTTATCTTCTTCAATTGGCACCCTTGTTAATCTATCCAGACTGCAGTCTGAAGGGGCTTTCGCAGAGTTATCTCTTCTCCTTGACATAGAGAGGTCTGATTAAGAATAATTATTGTTGTTACAGGCTTTTCATTAGGAGCCGGACAGTTAAAAAAATCCAGAGGCTTAGCAAGCGAAAAATGAAGGTAATTTCCAATTTAAAAAAACACAGTCCTTAGAGAGTTTAATTAACTCTAGACATCCAGAGGCTTTCCCTTCAAGGTTTTATACAAAAAGAACCAGTTATCTAGAAGAATAAATGCATTTTAAAAGCTTTTTACCGTCCGGATGGTATGGAGAATCAGCTCCTAGCTGGTCATTCCCCTGAGCGGAAGTGACGTTAATCAAGGCATGAAGCCCAGACAAATAAGTGTTACAAAACAACCCTGCCATGAGCATGTAAACTGAAAGTGACAAGAGGTATCAAACTCCTAGTAGGTATCACTGTAGTGTAATCTATATGGAGGGCTGACTAACAATCATTTATTACAAGAATAGTGAAGGTCTTTTTCATTTTTTAAAAAATAGACTTGCACATTAGTCAGCAGCTGTAAAAATATTACATTCCCACAATGTTAATCCAGGAACCAATTTATTTGATGGACAACTTACCTGAGATCTGATTTGAGCAGCTTTCTTGGGATCCACCATACGGACATGTTCAAAGTGCTTCAGTGTATGTTGCCTGTCCTTTTGTTCAGCACGGACATACTTCTTTAGCATGTTAAACACTTGTCGAGGCTGTGAAGACAAAAAACACCCATATATATCATTCACAGTGAAAGCAATCAGGCTACTTGCATTTCTGCTAGAAAGAATATGTGGCCCTTTGAAGTGCAGATATAAGCAAAACTCTTCAAATACTCCACATCTGCTAAACTACAGTGACATATTCGAAAGGGGTTCAGGCTACAAGAAGACAATAAAATGTGGCTGTTACAACAAAACAAAACAGTTCAGAATGCTTGAAATTTTTGTGATTTCATCATGACACAGCATTTAACCACAGGGGTTAATCCGACAGTTATGAAATGCACTTACAACACTGTTGCACAATGTTATGGATATATGCAGCTGCCTATAATAAACACTTTCTTCCTTCAGGAAGGTCCTTAAGCAGTAAAACCATTTGGAGGCTATTTTCCATTTTGATACATAACATCCAAATGTTACCAGTATTCAAAGAGAAGCTGTTTCAATACTATTTCCCAATAAATGACATTGTTTGCTACTACTTAGCTTTTAAAAACATAGTAACAACTGATACATAGAAATATAAATAATCCTCAAAAAATGACACAAAAAGAAGCATTCAGTTATCCAGTATCGACATTTCAGACAGAAAAGGCTATTCCCACCCTTACTCAACATTTCAGTTGTTTTTACATTATGAATGGATATTTGAATATGGCATCTATTATAGTAATAGAAATATAGTAAGACCCTCGTATCCACAGAGGATCACTTCCAAGTCCCCCTGCAGATACTGAAAACCACAGCGAGCAGCAAACACATAGCAAATGCTGTAGGGCCCCCCAACCCCCATATTCCTGCACAGCAACAACTATTTTATTATTGCATGTGCATAACATACATCATCATCATCATCATCATCATCATCATTATTATTATTATTATTATTATTATTATTAAAGTTCCCCGGCACACTCAATTAAAATTATAAAAACATTGACTGGTATTATATAACAGATGCAAGTTTTAACCAAAAACCTAGGTATCTGTTAAATATTGGCGCAGTATGTACACTGTTCCTAATATTGCTGGTGTTTTTTTTTTTTGTAGCTCCGATGGTGTCATTTCTGAGATCTGCAACTGCTTCTTCTTCAAAAAGCACCTCCCACCCTCTTAAAGCTCAGCTGCTCCAGCAAACCTCACTGCCACTGCTGGCTTAGCTATGCAGGCAGATCTTTCCAAATGGAGGCGGTGGCAGCAACCCTGCCTCTTCCCCCCCTCCTTGAGCCCAGAGAATGAAGAGGAAAGACTGACTTTTTTGCACATGCCCATGTGCTCCCATTCAAAATCTATGGGGAGCAGGGCGCAGCTGTTCCGGATCAGCTGGGGGGAGGTGGAAGATGGATTGAGAGGGATTTATTTTACTGGGGAGCAGACAATGGACACGATAGGAGTTGGTTGGGTCCTTCTCTTTCTCCTCCTCCCAGCTTACATTGGAGCTCCATGCCTCCTCTGCTTGAGGAGTGCAGACTCTGCCCTGCACCTGCCACCGCTGGTGCCACTCCTTTTGACCCATTCTCTCTGGTTCAGGGCCATTTTGGCTTGTTGGCAGAAGGTGGGATTGGAGCGCCCACACCTTACCTTGCCTCATCTCGGCCAGCCGACGGCCTGACCCAGCACAGGAGAGCCTGAGTGAGGGGGAAGGCACATCCCCCGCTGGGCTTAGCAGAACGTTCTTCCTCTTACTTGGTCCAGGCATTTTGAAAACCTGGCCTGGATCTAAGGAATGGATCTGTAGTACCATAAGAGTTGACTGGTCATTTTCAATTAAGTGAAATCTTAGGTATTGATCCAGTGAACGGAGGTCCTACTATATCGATGTTGAAAGTAATTTTATTGACATGAGCATGGTTTTGAAATGCTATACTGAGAGCAGTTTCCTGGATATAAATTTTTCAAATGAGAGAAATTCTAAAACAAGCATTGTAGGAAAGAAACAAATATAAAAGGGTTGTATGATTGAAAACATGATTCCTTTATCTGAAATGAATGAAAAGATCCAAGAAACACATGTTACACCAAACCTAAATTAAACACATGGAGTTAGAGAAGAGGATAATTGAGTGTGAAGGCCTTCTAGGATCGTTTTTACTAAAGCTAACTACTAAAGACTTTTAAAAAAGTAACACACTATGACCTGAACCCAACTATCTAATATATTACTTAGAATATGATGAAGGCAAGATATTAGGATTATTCTTTGAACAAGATAACTAAACGCTAGAGATTCTAATCATGGCTCATTTTCCAATCCCATTTTTGCATAAACTGTCAGAATGATATCATAATTGAAACATAATGGATTAATACTGCCTTAACATTTATATCTTAAGACAAACTGTAATCTATGCAATCAACTCTGATAGCCTGTTTCAAAACTGAAATTGTCTAAATTTAATCTTCTCAATGACATCATGACAACCAAACAATTTCTAAACCTATTTGACCAATGAAGAAGGACCACTACCTTTCCAATTGGAAAGCCCTATAAGAAGAAAATGAAGCAGTGTCTGGTGAACTCTCCTACAAGATAGGCAGCTTCTCCACCAATGCCCATTGAAAGACAATGGAACAGTATGGACGGGCTACAAGGTTGGGTACTTTCAGTGGATCCAGGCCATTTATTAAAGTATACTCCCTTATTGGAAGAAATGTGGCATCTACTACTACTACTACTACTACTACTACTACTACTACTACTACTACTACTACTACTACTACTACTACTACTACTACTACTAATAATAATAATAATAATAATAAGAAGAAGAAGAAGAAGAAGAAGCTAATACTGAATCATCTGCATAGCAGATGTAAATGATAACCTCTTCAGTGGCAGTTGAAATCAACAAGTACTCATCTGAAGATGTTCCTGGAGTTCAAACTAAAAAGCAGTGTCAAGAGCATATATTTTTCTAAATATTGAAGGTTAGAGGACATATTTCTATGTCCTCTAACCTTCAACATTCTGCAGCTTTTCGTTGCCAGTGCACACTGTCAACTGTCTTACTATCTCTTCATAGTCTTGCCATGCTAGTGGATTTTGTCAATGCCCTAGCAGGAATGCACAACCAACAGCAATCCCATACCATATAATTAAAGGAGCGGTACAAAATATGACATGTTTTCCAATGATTTAAAAACCTCATAGAAGGTTCATAGAGAGGAATAATCTCATTAATCTACGGTTCCATCCTAAACCAGTTTACTCATGTAAGTCTCAGTAAGTTCAGTGAGAGGTTGCACACAGATTCACTCACTAACTTTCATAGAATAATGAGACAGGTCTATGCTCAGATCAATCTTAGGTCTGCTTACCTTGGGTGGCTTAGCCTGCAAAGCTGTGATGTAATTTTCCAGTGCAATACGGCGACGATCATTGAGCATAGCTTCCACTCTTGCCATATGAGTTTCCACTAGCTGTTGTCTCTCATTTGCAGCTTCTTGTTCTAATGATTCCACCTTTTCTTGGAAATGCTGTGTAAAAGAGACACAGATATCACAGATATTTTACACAGCAACAGAGAATTACGTAGCAGATACCGTGGAAATGAATAGAAAGCATTGATTTACATGGGATGTTCTGACAGCATTTTCTGTAATTTTATCATAAACTGTCAGTTCTTCCCATATGCCTTTTAAAAATCATGGCAGTAAGTAATATCCCTATTGACTGTTGAGAAATTATCTGTCAATCAAGCAATGTGATCTAATAATGGGGATTATACAGGTTACCCTCAGATCCTTGCCAGTACAAAAACTATGTCGATATATATAACTGAGAAAGGAAAGCCTCTTGGCAGAGCATAAGAAAAAAAAATTCATAAAGATGAGTATCTTTCCTTTTCTCTAAAATAATTTAAAGTCTGAAGTGACATTTAAAACTGAACAAAGCAAAGCAATAGAGAGTTGCAATAAAAAAGAGAATTTATCAGATGCTATTGGTCTGTACTCAACAGCACCTTATGGTTAAAACTCAAGGCCTGAATTCAATTGTTAGTCCCAAATAAAATTAATGGAATCAGTGGAATTTACACTGCTGTTAACTCACTATTCAGTAATTAGATCCACTCTAGTTTGTACAGTTAGATTTGGGTAGCACAGTATGCCTATGGGTGAATGAATACCTCTTCACAAAGATATTTCATATGTTACCTAGCGGGCAAAATGTGGTCATATTAGGAAGAAGCCCATCTCCTCCACCGAGCAAAAAACCCAAAACAGAAATAAACAAAGAAAAACATGTGAACCATGGCAGTCTTATCAGTGATGGAAAGGACTTCCTTCCCTTTGAGGAGAAGGAACAACATGAGTGGGCCCTCCTGCACAGAGGACCTACTCATGTTATTCCTCTCCAGCAAACTGAACAGGGGGCCAACTGAAAGCTCTGGCTCATGCATTGATAGAGTTATAAAGAAAAGCTGGGTCCTTACTTCCCTACCTCATAAAGACTAACAGCAGTTCTAGTAGCTGATGAGCAAATTTAAGTCCATTTTACACATACAGGGTTGATCTGATATTTTGTTCATGTAATGTTCCCCAGCTCAGAGAAAACAAAAAGCCACTACACATTTGCAAACTTGGAGACAGACAGCATTCTTTGTTTTTACCTGTATGACAGCCTTTTTATCAGCTTTTGGCAAATTCTTTGCTTGGTGTTCTGCTTCTTCCCATTCCCTCATGACCTACCCAAATGTAAGCAAAATATCAGATTTTTAAATTTTTATTATGTTTACATACTGCATAAGGTTGTTTGAGATGTCTGCTTGGTTTAAAAGACAATATTTAGTTGATAAATCTAACATAAATGTGAAGGACAGTTATTTAGATTTTAACTTCAATAACTATCAGACGTGCTTCCTGCATTTTTATGTTTGACTAATGATTGAAGTGTAATCCAGCAGTAAAGTCCCGCTGAATTCAATATACACCGATGATAACTGTATATTTATCTGCAGGTTCAGACTCCCCCACCCCACTCCTCTCCCCTTTTCTTTTGGAAAAACACAAACAAACTGATGTCTCCAGTTCTCTTCAACAAGATCAACTGTAGAGGTTGCATCAGACCCAATGCTACAGTTTCTACAGAGCACAGTACAGGAAAATGTTTTGCACCTTTTATTATCTTAACCAGATGTATGGTTCTTATTAAAAAGAGAGGTACAATGTTACAACCCCTACCTGATTTAGCTTCTCACCAGACATGGGGACAATTTTTTTTAAAAAAATCACAATATTCACAAAACATTGCTGATTTGTTACATATTTGTCCCTGCATATTTGTGAATCCCAAAGACCCCGACAAATACGAAGGGACAAATATTCATATTTGTGAATCCCAAAGACCCTTACAAATATGTCCCCCATACAAAGCCTATGGCTTTCCCACTCTGCCTATGGGCTCCTTTGATCAGCTGATTGGCAGGCCCATAGTCAGCCAGCTAGACCCAGCCCACTTACTTCCACAGCCTGTCCCCCTTCACCTCCCTACCTTAGCCACTGCTGCCATCTGCTGCTGCCCGGTGCCGCTGCCATCCACTGTCACTCACTGCCACCATTGTCCATCACTTCCTGTTGCTGTGGCCTCTTCAGCCATGGAACACTTTGTAAGGGACACTGGCTGCCATTTGCAAAGTTGGCAGCTGCAGCTTCTCTTAGGACAGGGAAGCTGCAGCCGCCATGTTTGAAAAGTGGAGCCTGGATTCCCTTAGCCTACCTTAAGGGGTTTGAAAAGTGGAGCCCGGATTCCCTTAACCTACCTTAAGGGAATTCGGGTTGCCCTTTGCAAAAATGGCGGCTATGGCTTCTCTTAGGCAGGAAAGCTGCAGCCACCATCTTTGCAAAGGCTAGGCCAGATTCCTTAAGGCAGGCTATAGCAGTGGAGATTGTGGTGAACAGCAGTGGATGGTGGTTGTGGAGGCCGCCGTGGCCCAGGTTGCCATGGATGGCGACACTGGCACAGACTGCAGGCCCAGATAATGACAAGGTTGGGAGGTGACAGGGGTAGTGGGAAGGAGGCAGACTGTGGGGTGAGGTGGGGTCAACCCAACACACTGATTCACGGTTCATCAGTTCATGGGGAGGAAATTCATGGGGCTCAACCCAACACACTGATTCATGGTTCATGGGGAGGAAATTCATGGTTCATCAACTCTGATGGACCACGAACCACGATGAACCACCATGTTGGTGGTTCGTCCTCATCTCTACTTCCCACCACTCCTCATGCTCAGAGTTTGCTGGGACAAAGTGATTGCCCAAAGGCAAAGAAGTGAACCAAATTAAAACTTAGAACAACCACTTAAAAAACAATTCCTAACTTATTGTTCTGTCTCCCATAGAACACTGGGAACTGAATATTTCCAATATGCTAAATATGAAAATAATTCAGATGTTACTTGGGAAGTTCTACAATTAAGTGGTAGAAACTCAATTTCCGTTCATGATATCAGTCAGTCAGAATACTTTTTCCACTCAGCACCCTCCATATGGTTTAGATTACTCCTCACATTATCCTTGATCATGGGCCATGCTATTCAAAGTTATAGTACAAAAGTCTAGAGGACCACAGATGAGGGAAGAGCTGAATTTACCTCCCTGCAACCTTCCAAATTTTGACAAAGCGTCCTAAAAGCTCCAATTTGCCCCTTGTACAGCAGAAAATGGGAGAAGATAATTTACATTGTAAAATGTGTTAAAAATTAAGGAACAAGTTGCATGGGATGTGCTAAGCCCAGAAATGTGTAATGAGTACTAGAACTAAGATCAGAAATCTTTTCACAGAGAAATCTACTGCTTTTACCAATCTCCTCCCTGCTTCCCTTCTGGTCTGCCAAGCTACCTAGATTAGGCTGAAAAAGCTTTCCTGTTGTTTCTATTATCAGAGAAGAAGGAGTCAGTAATCATAGCTCATCAGCTGCAAATTACCCAGTGACACAGCAGGAGATTCTGACATAAAGTGTATCAATGACTCCCACGGACCCATACATATTGCAGAGGAAAACACAGAAAATATGCATGTCTTCATCCAGTTCACTCACAGATCAGGTCACCGAACAACCTCGTTGATTCAAACAATCTATCTCACTCTGGCAGGGTGGATTTATTCAATTTAAATCATGATTTAAATTTAAAATTGCTTTTTAATTTTTTTTTTTTTTACAATTTAAAGCAATCTACAGGTTGTCCTGCAGATATTGTTGGGCTCCCACCAGCCCAGTAAATGAAGATGGGAATAAGAGTAGATTAACATCTCAAGGTCCACAGGTCCCTCACCCCAGTTTAAATTCTATCATTCCTCAGTACCCACCTTGATTACCCTTCCAGCAGTTTTACTTTACAACCGTAGTTCTAGTGTTCTGAGTACCATTTCCCAACTTGTTTGTCTTTCTGACCAACATGCAAATTTAAAATCACAAGCACTTAGCTAAAAACCCACAACAGAAACTCACTGCCAAGATGATACGGCTATACTTCTAACATTTCTCCAAACCTTTCAGACTGAGACAGATAGGACTGTAAAAATGGTATCTCAGATGGCTCTTTAGACAAGATGTAAATATGGAAGCCAAAAGTTCAGTTATGGTATAGGGATAATAACTTCCTGAACTTGATCAGCATGATTATCTTTAAAATAAGACATTGCCCATGCTGTTATTTTAGAAGCCTATGTTTTTGTCCAAAGGAAAATCTGAATGGCCTACTGATATTGAATGCTCAGGACCATGCTAGGTAGGTGTATGCAAGGAAAACTCAGCATCTCATTTGTAAAAATAAAAATTAAAAAAAAATTCCATACCCATCAGTGCCCATCAGTGAACAATCTCTCTCTCTCTCTCTCTCTGTCCTTTGTAAAAATAAAAATTAAAAAAAAATCCATACCCATCAGTGAATAATCTCTCTCTCTCTCTCTCTCTCTCTCTCTCTCTCATTTATGCCTCAGTCTGGAAAGTCACAGTCTCAGAAAAATTATGGGCACTTATAAAAGAGCATTTACAGAGTAAAAAAAGACCTACCAAGAAATAAACTAACAAATAAATAAACTAATAAACAAACAAATAAATAAATATGAAAACTGTATTCTTCGAAGGAGAAATGCATGGGAACCATGAAGTAGTCTCATACGCACTTATAAAGCTTTTCTCCGTCAATGAAAACACAAAGCTATCACAACCATACAGATTTATGGTATTTCAAAGGCTTAGTTCTTTCATGCTGGCAAAATTACAATTTCTAGGCTAAGATTTTTGAAACCTAGGCATCTCAAAGTCAAGCACTCCTCAAAATTCAGGACACATTGCATAAATTGCACCCCCCTGGAGCGGACAGCACTGCAAAAGGATTGGGGGGGAGGGAGGAAAAACAAAATGTGTCATCCATTATTGAGACAAATTTTAATCACACTAATCTCATTTATACTTCACAGGCAGATAATTTTATCCTTTGTTATAAGTGAGTTGTAGAATTATTCAGATTTTACTACAGATAATTTCTTTGTAGAGAGAAAGCTGGATAGAAAATGTTAACACTGTGACAATTCTTACAGTATTGTTTCTATAAACAACCAAACAGAGAAATGCCTTACAAACTCTTATGCAGAACACCATAAAATTATGTCAGTGTTGTGAAAGTTAGCAGGGAAGCTGGCCACATATCAAATCCAAGACTGTGTTACACATTCAGAAATTACTTTCTAAATAACCTAAAGTCTTCATATTCAGGATAACATAAAGCATGAAAGTGGCATGCAACATACTAAACCACTGAGTACTGAATGCCTAATTTCACACAGATAAACCAGCACATTCAACAGGGAAGAACTTCTGGGCCTGTCATTTTGAGAGATGACTTGGCATTCTCCATGTTGTATTTGTTGTTATGTGCCATCAAGTCAAAATTTACTTATAGCAACCCTTTCAATGTCACTGAAATACTTAAGGAGTGGTTTTACCAATTCCATACCCTCAATGAGTTTCCATGCCTAAGCGGAAATTTGAACCAAGGCCTCTTAAGTCTCAGTCCATCATTCTATCCACTTCACCATTGAGCGGAAATTTGAACCCAGGCCTCTCAGTCCATCATTCTATCCACTTCACCACACTGGGTATCTCTGTGGTATATAACCTTGTCCAAAAGAATTACTGATTATATATGCTTGTTGCTATGTCATTAAAAAAAGATACAATGTTTCCCACCAACAATACCTGCAGGTCACTTTAAAATAGGTGGGAGATACATGGATGTATGGATGCTGTTGGAATGTCAAGTCCCTAATCCCTTAGCACCAGCTAAGGCAGGTGGGAACCACTGTTCAACAACATTTGAAAGGGCACATGGTTCCTACCTCTGTTTTATGAATATGTCTCCAAGCATGTCATTTCCTCTTCTCTCCTCCGCATGGTCACAAGAGCAGAAGATGTTTTCCTTTTTAACTAACAGTGGTAATATACGGCCTCAAAATCCAAACACACTCTAGTGAAAGAAGACAGTGAGGGCTAAACAAGCCAGTTTTAAACAGTGGTTTCTGATCCTGGCTTGTTCCTCTAAACCAGTGGTTCTTAACCTTTGTTACTCAGATGTTTTTGAACTGCAACTCCCAGAAACCCCAGTCAGCACAGCTGGTGGTGAAGGCTTCTGGGAGTTGCAGTCCAAAACTCTTGAGTAACCCAAGGTTAAGAACCAGTGCTCTAAACTAAGGAGAAAAAAGTGCCTCATTAGTTATTTTTGGATCTGTTGACTAGGACAGATGGGAGCTGCACAGGAAATTAAAAAAAAAAACTTCAATAAGGCCACAGATTTCCATGCTTCAAAGAAGTAACAGTACTTCTTAGATCAGGCAAAATGACAAAAAAACCCAAAAACTCTTATCTCCTCCTCCCAACTACAGTGGGGTCTTGACTTGAGAACTTAATCCGTATTGGAAGGCGGTTCTCAAGTCAAAACGTTCTCAAGTCAAATCTGCATTTCCCATAGGAATGCATTGAAAACCATTTGATCCGTATCTGCTCTTTTCTGTCCATAGAAACTAATGGGAAGCTGCTATTCCGCCTTCAACCACTAGAGGGGGATATTTTGTTTCTTTTTTTCTTAGGTCAAGAAAGGTTCAAACTCTTATCTCCTCCTCCCAACTATAAGAAAAACGAGAAGTAAACAACCTCAAATCTCACACACACCTTGTTCCTATGGCACTAAATTACACTATAGTGTTATGTGTGAACACAGTTATTGTCACTGGGGGTGGGGGTGAGAAAGAACTCTGTTGTTTAAATTAAGTAAGCTGGGGAATTCTTTTATTTTTTTTGAAACAGTGGTTTCTGATCCTGGCTTGTTCCTCTAAACCAGTGGTTCTTAACCTTTGTTACTCAGATGTTTTTGAACTGCAACTCCCAGAAACCCCAGTCAGCACAGCTGGTGGTGAAGGCTTCTGGGAGTTGCAGTCCAAAACTCTTGAGTAACCCAAGGTTAAGAACCAGTGCTCTAAACTAAAGAGAAAAAAGTGCCTAATTAGTTATTTTTGGATCTGTTGACTAGGACAGATGGGAGATGCACAGGAAATTAAAAAAAAAATCAATAAGGCCACAGATTTCCGTGCTTCAAAGAAGTAACAGTACTTCTTAGATCAGGCAAAATGACAAAAAAAAACTCTTATCTCCTCCTCCCAACTATAAGAAAAACGAGAAGTAAACAACCTCAAATCTCTCACACACCTTGTTCCTATGGCACTAAATTACACTATAGTGTTATGTGTGACAGTTATTGTCACCGGGGGTGGGGGTGACAAAGAACTCTGTTGTTTAAATTAAGTAAGCTGGGGAATTCTTTTATTTTTTTGAAACCTGGAGGATGGAGAAAAAGTATAAAGTGCAAATTCAAATATCACTTTATAAGGTCAGCTCACCTGGGACATCCTCTCACGGTGCTTGGCTTCAAGCCTCTCTTTGGCTTTTTGGAAATGGGAATGCTCATTTTCGTCACCAGGGGTCTCCAAGTACTTGTCAACAGCATCAGGAGTGCTGGCTGCTGTGGTGGGAACTAGCAATGGGGATTTATGAAAGAAAAACAGAGGCAAAGGTTTACTTAAAGATGAAACACAAAACCATATGTATGATTCCAATATCGTCTGTCTATTAAAAGCAACTGCCCACTAGAATAGCATACATACATACAAAAAGAGAGTTTGAGGAAGAAAAGACTCTTCCCTGTTTTTCAGAGAAGTCAGAAACAGGAAAATATTTTGCCCATGTAGCAGATTATGAAGACATGCAAAGACTGAAGTTATTCCAGTCTACCAAAACTACCGGTATAGACATGAAAATAGGCAAGGTTTTTAAAAACCACATGCTTTACTCTGAAAACAGGCCTGTGCACAACACATACAGGTATTTTAAAAGCCATCTCCAAAGGCAAATTTATCTCCTTAGCAGGGCTACCCACAGTCTTGCGGAACCACATTATGATCCTTCTTTCTGTAGCTTTTTCTTATACACAGAAGTCCTGTTTTTGGCATTATAAATGCCAGGGCGATGAACATGCTTTGAGGGGAGTACCTAGCCCTGCCTCTCTGTGTTATAGTAGACTTTAAAACGTAACCAGGACACACTTGTATGGGGCCATCACCCAAGCTGAATCTCTCTCTCTCTCTCTCTCTCTCTCTCTCTCTCTCACACACACACACACACACACACACACACACACACACACACACACACACACACACCATTTTGGGGGGACATGTATGCAAAACATCTTTTATTTTGAGTAGACCATTTGAACATAGCGTCAGATTCATTTTAGACTGCTTTTTTATAAAGAAAACAGTATGCTCCAATAACAAATGCCGAAGATACACACTTCCCTGTTTGTTTTCTAAAACACTGTACAAATGTATCAAACATACAGCATTTGAGAGTTCAGCCCTAAACATCTATCAGCACAGCAGCTCTTTCCTGCCACAACCATGGTATTGCCACAAAATCTAGAGTTGAGAATCAGGTGTTGTATCCTGCATCTCTTTAAGAAAAGGATACGGAGTTTACTCTAAGACAAGCACCTAGTCTCATTTCAGAGTCTCCATTAGGGAACAGCACCTGTCCTAATTCAACTGACAGAATCACACAAACAAAAACCCGTAGCTCTGTCTAACAACACTGTATGCCTATATGTCACAATGAAAATGCTTCAAATGATCTGTGACACATCCAGTTTAAGACATGTACTGTTCATTTCTCAACAAGGCAACATAAGCTATGTTTTCTGAAGGTTTTATAAGGCCATTTTCTAAGAGGTTCTTAACTCAGGGGGTGACAGCTCCCTTTCTCTTCCTCAAGGAAACCTCTTCTCTCTCTTTTTTCTTTATTCTTTTTGGCAATGATCCTATACCGGGTTATTCTACCTATTCTGTATGAAGTAATAAATATAAGCCCTCACCATTATTAATCCCCTTTTCTCAATATATAGTAGGAGAGTACTAAAGTTTTCAATGGCAACTAGTTGGAGGAGAATCAAGGGCACCTAATGGTTAGTCCATGTGAAATCTATACAGTAGTTCATTACGCAGTCTTTGCCTTTCTATGTCCATCACGTTTTCTGGCTCATAAACTCATATTCTTGCCCCCCCCCAAAACCCAATGGGTATTCCATAGCTGAATCTAATGACAATGTGTGCAGTGAGTTAAGCTGTAGAGAGGACTAGATAGAGACACCTAAGTCACAAAACATTGCTGTACAGGCAGTAGAAGTAAAGACAGATATACTGTAGTTTGATATTTCACTGCAAGACAATTGTTGTTCATTTCCATCAACAAAGCATATTTGGCGTTAAGAGAAAAATGCAACCTTTATAAGGAGTAAATATGATCCAAAGATGTGATGTGACAGAAGCAGACCTGCTTGTTGAACCTCCAGCCTCCTCTTCTAAAAAAGGAGACAACAAGATTTTCGCACTCATAGCTTTGGTCTGTCTATGCGTCCCCACTCTAGCTGACTTCACTTCCGATATGAGAGACTGGTTCAGGAAAAACTTGCTTAGAGTGAGGAGGCTATGAGAAAGTTTCATATTTGCTCATAAAGGTAAAGGTAAAAAGGTAAAGGTTTCCCTTGACAATTTTTTCCCAGTCGTGTTCGACTCTAGGGGGCGGTGCTCATCCCCGTTTCCAAGCCATAGAGCCAGCGTTTGTCCGAAGACAATCTTCCGTGGTCACATGGCCAGTGCGACTTACACACGGAATGCTGTTACCTTCCCACCGAGGTGGTCCCTATTTATCTACTTGCATTTGCATGCTTTCGAACCGCTAGGTTGGTGGGAGCTGGGACAAGCAACGGGTGCTCACTCCGTCGTGTGGATTCGATCTTACGACTGCTGGTCTTCTGACCCTGCAGCACAGGCTTCTGCGGTTTAGCCCGCAGCGCCACCACGTCCCTTTAAAGGTATGTGGTCTCAAAATCAGTTATCTAATCTTCATAGGTAATTGGGTGATAACAAATTAGCAATGTGTCATCAAAGAGATTCCAACTACCATAATGGCAATTCTTTTCAGATTTTCTAGGTGAAGAGCACTCAGAAGTCATTTACCATTCCCTTCTTCCAGGGTACCTTGGGACTGTGCAGCTTGTCCAAGGCCACACAGGCTGATTCTCCTTCCTAGGAGGCATTGTGGGCATAGATCTGTTATCACATTCTGTTTTTGATCTCAGTTAAATAAGCATTTGCTTTCAACAGCTTTACTCATGGCTATTTTAGTGCTCTAGAGCTACAGTAAATTAAAATGGAAGGAGGAGGGCCAGCAAGTAGAGGCAGCAACTGGTGTGAAATTACCTGTAATGGGCTCTGCTCTGACAGAAATTCAATAGGTCTCAGACTGTCACATGTACTACAATGGCATAATTTAATGTTACATGAAATGACTTCAGCTCATGCAGCAGAAACCTCCTTCTCCTCCTCTTCTGTCCCAAGATCTTCCTGTCTTCAAAAATCTGCTCCAGATAACCCTCTAGCCTAACCCCAAGCAGCTTTTGAGAGCATATGGGCTGCCTGTTGTTGTTGGTGGTGGTGTGGGAACCATCCCTTCCTGGCTTTGCTAGCAGCATTTGCCTTTGAACCTTAAGAGCTAGTACTCAGCAGCTTTTCTCCCTCCTACCTTAAAAAATGAAAAGGAAAAGAAAGGAAAGGGAAAAACAAAAGCAGGTGTTGAAGTAACCTAAGGCAACTCATTAATCAAACTGACTTAAGGGACTGGTCAATGTCTTTATGAAAGACATCATGTAGGAGGGTTTGCATCACTACAAATGCACAAAGCAATTTCTTTTAGTTTTGTATTCACAAAGACCTGAAGCAATTAACAGTAATATTCTACTTTAGTCCCCAGACATCTCACTGAGACTGAAATAATAGACTCGAATCAATACTTGATGTCAGCCATCAGGTATATGCTACACACCTTCCTCTTCTGTTTCAACAACTATTTATTTATTTATTTATTTACCCTCTTCTGTTTCAACAACTAACCAGCACTTTGAGCAAACATGTTCAAGATTCAGAATGAAGAAAGCTGGACTCTTCAAGTAGAAGACATGTTGTGCCTGCTGACAGTGAACTGCACTATAAATTTTGACAAAACCCAACCAACTGAACAAAAAGTAGTAAAAAAACAAGGATCTCCAGAGTATCTATTAAGACAATACAACTGTTTACATTTACATCCACAGAATTCGATTATACCACCTCAAGATGTAAAGGGACCTCAGTGTTTTTATTTTTAGTAGACCCCATGCTCTACTGAATTGGTAAATATTAAGTATACAGCCCTTGTAGTGGATTGTATACCTGTCATCCATGGGCCAAATCAGCAAAGCAGAGAGAGGCTCCTCACACATTGTTTAATCACCAGATTATATTAACTACAATCTTCACTGGCAGAGGCACTACTACACAGATGAAATCACTGTTCTTCAAGGCATATACATTTACATCCCACTGTGGCCCATGCAACCCACTCCCAGAGTAGGAGTTACAGGGAGAGCCTCTACAGCCATGAGCTCCATGAAGTCTGTTTAAAGTGGATTTTATTAATGTAAGAGGATAGGGTACAAAGATAGGTTGAAAGCTGATGCAGCCCATTCCAGCAGCCCACAAGAAGGCCAAGTTGGCTCCACTAGGTCCATGGCCAGTTCAGTCTTTGCCCGCGCCTGCATTCCATATGGTGGGAAAGAACTGTATGCAGTCCGTGGCTGGGGTCTAGTTCTCAACATTGACCCCAGCTAGCTAACTCTCTTCAGGGAGTGATTGTATTGGTGGGTACTTTTTTGCTGCTCCTGCAAGTGCTCCTTTTCGTGTTTCCTCCTCCAGCACATTTCTTGGGTTGGTTGGGCCTGGCTACCCAGCCAGTCTCCAGGGCGTTGGTGATGGTGGCAGACTGAAGATTGGTGTGCCTCCCCTACATCCTTAGCTTTTAGTAATTTCAACCTATCCTTGCCTCAGTCCAGGGATTTTCCATAGTCAGCATATAGTCTTCTCCCAGGGTGGGAAATATAGGGTTCAGCTATGCCACTGCCTCCCCCACTTCTCTGCCTCCAACTTTGCTGAGGGTGACAATCCTCCCCTCTTTCTCCTCCTCTTCCTTTAAACCAGGCTCCTACCAACTGGATCTGTCCTTTGCTCCCTCGCCCAGGTGTGGTGACTGTGCTTCAGACTCTTTCCTTCGCCTGGATCTCTGTCTCCCTCTCTGTGGGACAGGCACCTCCCTTGCATCCTCACTGACATCCAGCCACTGTGGTCTGCAAGAGCAGATGGCCTGCTAAAGACAACTGGAGTGCCCCCCCTTACACTCAACCTAACAGCTACCGGTGTACGGATAGGACCTTCCTGAATGTCCTGGAATATGTCCTGGATATTAGTTATCCAGAGTCCCCTGACTTTTCAATCATCAGTGAAAATCTGCATTAGTATACAATTGCAAGTAAGTTAACATTATGCGAACGGTTGCACCCCAGTGAAAACTCTTCAGGCAGAAGGGGCCGTCAAGAGATGAATTTGT